ATAATACATACTTTTTTTGATTGTAAGAATATTCAATCACATTCCTTGTAGCTCACATTTAGAAAAGTCAAACAATCGCATAAAATCAGATGTTACCGACCTACGAGTTGATTTACAAAGATAATTTCGCAGTTGAAATTTAAATTTTAAGGCTTCTTAGCCAACACCTCTGTTTTCAGATTTATTTCTATAATGTATTAGATTTTGTCTTACCATATCATATTTCGATGCAATGTTACTTATTTCCTCCTATATGCTTATGTCATCTAAAATCGAATATCTGTTTCAATGGTCGTAATTCACTGAATCTTTATAAATTTAGTTACAGGTTTTATAAAAATTTCCTAATTACCCTAAAATCCTAAATTGAAAATGACATTACTGAATTCAGAATTGCATTTCGTTTTGTTGTATTATTTGTTCGATAGGTTAGATTTTTTTAGTCTGTTATATGTTGCCTCTGAATAAAAGATTATTTCAATATTTTCGACAGACGCTGGTGAAGTCTGTCTAGTGGTAACGGAAAGACTACTAGTGAAAATATAAACTTTCATCCTATCCTCAGATATTATTGGAATGAACTCATATTGTACTGATAAACTTTCCTCTGTCACATGACATCGGGGAATTTTCGGAAATAAACCCGTGAAAAAAAATACATAGGTTCAGACTTTGCTTGTTTATTTTAATTTACCAGAGTGTAACTTACTAGTTCTTGGGCAAGTGACTGATGAATGTATGCACTAAGAACCATTGCGCTGGGTAGTGATACTCTTATGCTTCACTGTATCTAAGGTACACATCTGGCACAAAACTGCTATTTTAACCAAAAACAGTCTGACTAAGCACTATCTTGAGACAGTAATAATTATTAGTGCTTTCTCAGAATGAAAATAATCTACCTAAACTTACTTTTTTCATCGAGTCATAGGGAAAGCAGATCTCATAGGTTAAATTTGTTTTCCACGATATCATCCTCAGCAGCTTTACAACCGCATTTAAATATATTTATTGTGCATAATTTCAGTGTCTTTTCATCAGTAATTATGAGCAGTTTGTGGCATAGAAAATTAAGAGAGGTATGAAAATGTTTGATGATATGTGTTACCTGTGAATAGGCATTTCTTAATTCATAACAAAGAGAGCAGACACCTGTCAGTCAAGATAAGAATGAGAAATCAGCAACCGAGACAAAAAAGCTTTCATGCTTCATAAGCCCATCTAACCACTTTTTTTGTTTCTATAAACATTTTTCCGAGTCCAATTACTAATTTCTCATTCCCCTTCTCACTGAAAACTCTTTACTTAATTTGTTGCGAATTCTTAAATTTTGATTTCAACTCACATTTATGTTTTGTTCGTACTTTCCATTCTGATTTTACTTTCCAGTACACAACCTACTAAGAATTATTGAGCGACAAATATTGTGCATGCTGATTATACTTAGTTGTAACTATAAAGCTTCAAGGGATGATGTTGTCGAAAACGAATTGGTTTGCTGAACTCTTTCTCCTTTTATGATTTTACTAGAAAGTTTTTGTCTTTGTGAAACAAATACTTTCAAATTTGAAATGAACCCTTCTTTTAATTCAGTTACACTTCATGGAATATTATTATCTACCTTGCTGAGTGTGAAGCACAACATAAATTATACTTTATAACAGCTGTTTAAATCAGTGGGTGGTTAACAATTTCCAGATCGTTAAGAGAAGAATATTTATCGGTTGTCCACTGAAAAGCTTTTCATATAACTTCTATGACAGACTGAAGCTTGTAAATATAGCTGTAAAATTTAAATAGTGTCATGGGAATTCAGTGTAGTATCCTAGAACTTATGTGAAGGTATCTCATGAAGAATCATAAAAATTAATTTTTTCAGTCCTTAAACTTCAGCTAAATTTCTTCAATTCATAACTGGTCAGAATCGAATGCGACAATTAAACTGATGCTTTCCAAAAAAATTTCTACATTTTAAAGTATAATGCTGTAAAGAAGAGGAGTGGGATTTCCAGAACAAATTGATCTTATATTTATTTCGTGGCTTCTTAGTTGTAAACAGCTTGAAAAAAAAGAGGAGGAACGTGAAATGCAACAAGGAACATACTTTAAAGCTGAAAAAAGGAACCATATACACTGAGATATACGAATACGATAACTGAAAGGAAAATCCTTGAGTTTTAATAGAGGGTATATAGAATAGCGATATTGGCAAAGTAGTTATTGTCAGAATAATGATCATAATAATCATCTGATTGTTATGACAGTAATGAACGGTTTTTTACACAGAATCAAAAAGACAAATCTTACAACACACGAGGCATGTGGGACTGGTAATACAACCAAAAAGTGGATCAATAAGAGAATATGAAGTAGTAAACGTTGTAGTAAAGATAAGCGCATAGATACCAAGGTAGTGCTAGATTATTTATTATTTCTCTCTAAGGTTTGATTGATTGCTATGGATTTTGCGAAACAAAATAAGATGAGCACTTGTTAATTTATTTTTTCAAAGACTCCAGTTATAGGTGTTCATGCTGTGTCTCGAATAGACTTAGTTTGGAGATTTCAAATCATTCAATGAATGGTTCTTTGAAAATTGCGCAAGAAAATTACTACATGCACATCATTTTGTCCTTGCGATGAATCTCCTTTGAGAAGTACATGTGAATTTGTGAGTGCGGTTGCAGTTGGATGGACCCTTATCCCATTTAAATTGAAAAATGGCTCTGTTAGTGCTGCATAAAAGACCCAGTTTCTTGGCCAGATACACTCAAATGTGCTTACTAATCCATGTATATCAGAGGGATAGAAAAATGGACGTATGCTCGTTTTTCTAAAAACCTCCTGAAACGTCTTCAGCCTTATGGATTGATATCACTCATTGGGTCAATATATGATGGAAGTATTCTGAGTTCAGGTTTATGAAGTATTATGAGGTATTAATGCTTCAAAATTCTATTTTTAAAACTCGTTGAAACATGATGCAAAAGCTGAAGGGAGACAGGAAAGCTGTTCTATCTTCTAACGGATGTTACCTTGACTTTTGCCATATTGTCCTCTTCTTATCAATGACATCATGAAATACTTTTCCGTGCATAATCTAACTTGTTCGGCCAATAGTCGCTAAAATGGTCTTGATGACAACTAATAAAGTTTTCATGAACACCTCTTTACAGTAGATTTTTACAGAAGAGCTCATTTTTAACTTGATCTGTCAACCAAGCAGGTCGAAGACATTCAACTGGTCAAATAATCTAAACAACGAAATTTTACGACCTAAATGTTATTTGGATGATAGCTGATTAAACATTGTTAGCAGATTTCAGGACGAAAGCTTTCATTTAACCACTAAAAGTTACTTTTTCTGGAAATCCTATTCCAATGGACAAATCTCCAGTTGTTAGTTATATCACCTGTAGCTTGGAAGTCCATTTGATAGTATTTTGTAAGCTTACCGCAGTTTACCCGTAGTTTCAAACAGTTGCCTAAATGCTTTAATCAGTAACTGACGCGACTATAGATAATTAGAAACTTGTCGTGTTATGCCTATGAGATGACTGTTTTCTCTGAATAAAAGTCTGATGAATAGGCTTCATTTATGTAAAGCTTTAACAGTATGGCTGCAAGAAAAGGTTATTTGCACTTAGTCGCGTAAAATGCTTCCACAGTAGTGAATGCTCGACTTTGCACTAAGTTTTCTACTTCATAAACACAGTTACACAATACATCATAAAATACATTGGTCAATTACTTATCTGATTAGGCTGCATTGTAGATAGGAAGCACACCACATTGAACAAAAATATGTTTTACTTACAGTCTTTTTCAAAACTAGCTTCGTGAATTCCACTTCAACGATAAAATATCCACCATAACTGAATAATAATCACTAGCCTTCAGCTAAAAAACGTTTATTGAAGCGAAATTCATAATGCAAACCTTTCAACTTAACAATAAAACTGTAGGAACGATTACCCTTTTATAGAATTTCCTATGCAATTCATAAGAATTCATCTGTGAATTGGTGAGGCCATCAGCATAGAAATATTGAAGGTGGCAGTTTGTGTACCAAAGGAGATGGTTCATCTCCTCGCTATTCCAGGACGCTGCAAGAAGCTGAATGTCATAATCTTTTAGGTCCCATAGACTCATGTCATATATTATCTGATTAGTTTTTTACCGATACTTGTAATTTCTAGTTGCTGTGCTGGGTCGATTTGCTCCACCTTAGTTGGCAGATGGGCTATCGTGTTGATGCCTCTATACCGGATGGATATTCGTTACATTGTGGTCCATTAGATTCACGTTTCGTCCTTTTTGCGACCTATTCGTCAGATGTGCCTGCACTCAAGTGACTGATGTCGTTTCCAGTAAGAGTCGAGCCGAGTACTCAACGCCTCAAGCGCTAAAGTATTATCCACTAGGCTACTGGGGTAAGACAGAAGTCTTTGTGCAACAGATAACAATTTTCACGAATATCATGTGAGGCTGTTGTGCACCAATGACCTACTGGCTAACGCTTTGACGTTTGAAGCGATGGGTACTCATTTCGAATTTCTTTGGGAACCTCATCACTTACTGGGCTGCAAGTCAACTCTGTTCGCAAGTCCAAAATAGAACGAAACGCATGTCCTAAATTCCACTACTAGCCACCAAACAGACACCGGTGTAAGTTTACTTTGTGTTTTCAGATAAGTTAATCCTTGTATCAGTTGCTTTTCTAGACACTTATTCAATAAGGTAGTGTTTATTATCCAGTCCTTACACTGACTCAACCGCTCAACATTTGTACCTCCAGAAATATTTCCAAAACGACGTGTTTACACCTGTTTCATGTTAAAGGTTAAGTCTTTAGACTAGGCTTTATTAGACTTTGATGAAAATACTTTTTTTCGTAAATTATCTTAAGTCTATTTAGGTTCGGTTTGATATCCAGCTATCCAATCAACTAACTATTAGTTTCTTTACGAGTAGAAATATTTTTTACTTTAAAATTTTAGGAGTGGGATTTCTCTTGGGTCCACAGCTTTGGAACAGATATTATCCAGCAAGATTATTGAGTAACTTTTCTACTCGGTATTCACCGGTAAAAGAAGATTCATGGACAGAATATGAAAGTGATAACTGTCTTAGAGAGTTTCTTGATAAAACAGAGTGAGTTCACACCTTTTATGGAGTTTAGTCTAACTGATAGATGAATATTATTGTTACATAGATGGATTTTACAACCCCTGTTTTACATCAATGACCAGCTGTTTGTTAAACAGGTAATATCTCTGCTGGATGAAAGAGAATATTACTGACCACTAGTCAAGAAGTTTTAAAGCTCTTCATGTTAGGGTTAGGGTGACGCGAAACAGACTTTCATTTCATGAATTTTTTTATCATTCCGTAATCACTTTTGGTATTCAACGGATAAATAAGAAACCTCTGTAGAAATAAGGCTTTGGTAAGTCGTATGCTTTCTTATTCTGTTACTTCAGGTCCAGTGTTATACTCTACTGTTCAAGAAAATATCGATTAAGTCCACTTTCCTAGACGAACCATCAGCGAAATTATGTTCAATTAGTTTATCTGATACAGTGTGCACTGATGCAGCATGTTCATGACATTTTGACGCCAAAGTGAGTAAACTGTGTACTCAGAAGGTCCTTTAGTAAAAAATATTGTATCACTGTGTTCTAAATCAAATATACTAACTGGATGTGCAATCGAATTCTACATTTTGCTTATATTTCACACATACTCTAAACAAGATAACTTTAGTAATTATTGTCTTGAACTCTATAAGTTTTTCATTATCCTGTACAATACAGTTTTATTACTGCTTACAAGCGAAGTAGCTAATTTATTAACTTATAATACGTTTAGACAGTAAAATTTCTGTTTCGAAATATCGAAATATTCGGCATTATTATTTTTTAAAATCAGTTATTCAGAGGTTTTTTTTAGCTAAAAATACATGTTCACCACACTTTGGTACAGAATAATTTCATTTCATGTGTTAAAATCAAACGAGAAATAATGAAACTGTGTGGAGTTTCCTTCTGATCCTGCTTTCCAGCAACACTACTCCATGACTTCAAAGAAAAAACATCAAAGCGTAATCGAGCAAGTGGTAACAAATTCTTATAAACACCTTTAGGAGCGTTGATTACTCGATAAACGTATGATTTTAACGAAGCGATGAGATATTTTCTCAAGATTAGTTACTTGTTTTGGAATTATTCATAGCTTTACTGAGTGAAATTTAGCTGCTGGGGTTTTGAAAATCGTGCTCAGACTTTAAGTAAACTAAAAACATATGTTTATTTGAAACAGTTAGTCCCTCTTATGAAATTAGATAGTTTAATCAGAAGATGGAGTTTACCTGAACAATGTGATTTATTTGTATAGTGTGTTTCGAACAATCTAACAACACATTCAATTGTAAAAGCAGTTTACATAAAACAGAAGGACTGGAGAACAAATGGAACAGCATAATTGAGGATTAAAATTAGGAGAGAAGGTAAAGAGTGACACAGCTGATTCTTATCTTGATATGAAAATAAAGTCTACCGAGGTAGGTGTAATGTAGGAACAAATTGTTTTTGTACACATGAAGGTGGTTTCAACTTGTGTATCGCTATCCCTCCCGCAAATCTCAGTTTGGGTTCCTGACTGTTTCCATATAAAACTTTGAAAGCTATTCTGACATTGATTTTTTGACCCCTTCGTGTAACATGCTTAGCTATAGATGAAGAGGATTGTGTCGCACCTGAGTTTATCAAGGTTTCACACTACATATCCTTTTGCTGTCATTTAGGTACATATTCTTCCAATTTCAACTAGATAACTCGATTACTCCTCCCTATGTATGTGTGACCACACACATGTAAGTTGGTAAACACAAATAGGTGTTTGACATAATCACTGATGTAATGTTTATGTTTGTGATGAAGTATATGTTTTGCTATTACCACAATTGTAAGACTAGCTCTGTTATATGCTTTTTTAATGGCTAATGTTAGCCTACATCTCAAAAGTGTACCGTTCAACTCCCTGTGTATGGTAGAGTGATTTGAATGCTTTTCTTAGGAACCGCGCAGAAAGCCGTCTTCGGTGCTACCTGACTTCTCTATCGGTTCATAAACTTTGACGGATATCCATTTTCTGTAAGTATTTCGGTCAGTAATTTGATATATTCATCCAACGTATTTGATGTACCGATACCACGGATCCTACTAAAAAGGGATTTTACTAGATCTCACATGTACTGGATCGGGCGAAACTGTAAAAATTCTGACATTGTCCTGTCTATAAAGGCTTTTTGTAGATTAACCTTCTAAGTCAACCATCTTGTTGACTCAAAAGTACATCTAAGAATGGCAGATGATGTTTATTCTCCTTTTCACAAGTCAGACTGATATGAGTTTGTATGGTAAGTCTTTTTATTAGACAAACCATATCTTCATGCTCCTCCCTCACAAATCACTATGATATCGTCAGCATATCTCTTATAAAGGAAAAGTTTTGCGGTAAAATCAGCAGCTAGATTTTCAATACATAACACATAAATATCAGCTAGTAATGGTCTTAAAATGGTAATGAAAATATTATTAACAAGTAAATCATGTCTTCAGACTAGCGGTCTTGATTTCTGGGCGTTGTGTCTGGTTGCTTAGTGCATATCTTTACAGATAGCCATAGTAATATTTACCTCGTACTTTTTAGAAGACACAATACTAATTCCCTTATTAATACCATTATTACTGTATTCACAAATGCTTCCAGTAGATAACGGAAACGATTAAATTCCAGATCATTTACAACTTGACGAACATGACTTATGTTGGTTCATGTTTACAATGTAAAATTTCAGTATTCTTTGAAACATTCATCTTTTTATCGCCCCTCTATGTAACTTATTTGACACCTAAAGCGTTGCAGTGGTAGACTGATTCAGGCTCAAAGAACTACTTGGGGCATAGTAATGTGTGAAAGATGCAAGTAACGGTCAGGATCCGAACAATAGTGTTTTGAAGGTTTATGACTTCCTGATTTATTCCAAAGTTTTCAATCTGACTCGAGTCATGTCAAATATCTCACAAATCATTTCTGATATCCTTAGTGATTCTTGATGAGTAAGGTGAAATTCACCTATATAGGTCCCCTCAGTAACCACTTGATGTCAAATTTGATACGATACCTTGTTGTTCCTACATTGATTTTCTTCCTTACCTTCCATCCATTCTAAGAGACAGAAAAAGATCTCACGCAGTACTAATTTTCATCTGCAGCATAATACATTCTTTGGATTGTGATTCATAATAATTATAAGTGGAAACTTTTACGGTAAAGAAAAAGGCGCAAGAAATTTTCTGACAAAGCTTACGAAAAGCTTTTAATTTCAGAAATAAATTGTGAAGCGTATATTAGGGTTGTAGTTATCAATTCCTGTATTCTGTTCAACGTTATAAATGCACTTTACAAAGTTCTGCTACAAGAAAATGCAACCCAGATTAGATAAACAAAATTGGCTGTCCATTCCCAACTGAGTCAACCTAATGATTTCAACATAATATTCATAGTATGCTGAGAGCATCTGGAGAAGCGCCAAAAAAGTAAAGACATTGGATGGGTGTTTCGTCTCAGTCTGAGACTCTTCAGCTGCATGAGAGCAGGATCCCGCTAGAAATCTTACTCAGGAGCTTTGGATCTAGTGGAGAAACCCAATGGATGAATAGCGACCCGATCTCTTCGAAAGCCGAACGTCTCTACTCGGGTTCTTAGCACAGTTATGCTTGAGAACTACTGATACAAAACAGTATTCCATTGCTCCCACGTTTTCAGTTATTCTCCAGATGGTGTCACTTTATGATGTATACCAAATTGAACTCACTAGATCCCTGTAAAGCTCCAGATTTATCATTTAGTAAACTCTGGCTCACATTTGTATGTCACGGACAAAAATATTCGTTCACCTCTTTACATGATCCTTCCATTATTTCCACAATATACTGATTCCAACCAAACTGGTTATACTTCTAATGCACCAACAAAAAGATCAAGTGAAATTGGATGAATACGACAGTCTGAATGATATATCACTTCGTTGATTCATCTTCAGGTCTATTCCGGTGATAAGTGCCTTGCTAAACATAGGTGTGATTGTACTAAAGTAAAAATATTACCAACCAAATCGACTTTAATAATCAGGGAAAATAAGGAAACTGCTTCGCCTTGTAATCTTGAAATATGTCCATACTTTCAAAATGTTACTACCATTTATATAATACATACTGCTTAATTTTCAGTGAGAACTACTGTAATATCTCATATAAGTGCTGGAAATCGGCTACCAGCGAAATCAAACTGAATACAGCCTAACACATCAGGTCTTTTACTTTATGATTGGACTACAGGTAAGTGAGTGCTTGTTTGCATAAGAATGCACTTCTATAACCATACATATATTTTATTCATGGTAAGAGCTGAAAGAGTTATTCGGATGCATTTTATATTTCTTTAACCATTTCCCGGGAAAACCTTCATCAATCACGCGGCTACAACCTTCGTAAGTTTTTCAAACAAAAATGAAAAAATCATACACTGATCGGTCACTGAATAGCAGTCAGTCTCATATTTTCTGGTCTTGTGTGCTGATCGAATTCCTTAGACCATTTTAAAATGGGACCACTAAGTTAGGAGACTCACCATCGCAGTGCACTTTGATGGATGTGCCTAGTACAGACAAATTCAGGTAACGTACAGGAAAAATACAATGCAATGTATCATCATAGAAAGAAGTATGAAGTAACAGGCAACATTCAAACCCCAAAAGTGAAGCCATAAACATAATACCTAGTTCACAAAAATGTAGTTTTCGAAGACAAGTATATAACAGATGTTCCAATACCCACTTTGAGTGGCATTTCAAGGTCATAGTTTGAGATCATTCGAAATAACCGTCCGCATTTGAAAATATTATACCTTCGGTCTTTAGTCCGACAAAATGCGTAGCTACTTACGGTCACCTGGTAACAATATTACAAATTGGAGGAGACTTTTCAGAAACAATGGATGTGTGCACTGATACATTCAAAATACAGTTATTATTTGTGATTGTATGCCAGCTTTGCATGCCAACTTGAATGCCCTAATAATGGCTTGAGTAGAATATACTCACTAAGATACTGAATACACTGTGAGAATACTTCTAAGAAAATTTATAACTCAGTGATATATAGATAGATATCTTCAAAAAATGGTCAAGCCTAATTATTAAAATCACAGAGCTAAGACATATTTGTTAAAATTGCTTCCTTTAGATTCTTTCTTTGGATAATTTGAAGGTGAAAATCAAAATCATCAGGGTCCATATTGTTCACATTATTTAGGGAGGCTTTGACTTATATCTTACTTTTGAAGAAATAAAAATGTGATGGACAAAAAGTGACCAGAGGTAAAATTAATCACCCTTTCATCCCAGAAACGAGACGTTTGAAAGAACCAGCTCTGAAAGCCACCCAACGTGTATTTTTAGTGACTGTTATCATCGGTGATAAAGTTCCACATAGAGTGGATGCCATTCTGTCATGTCAAATGCCCCGCGGTTGCCACGTGAAGCCAAATTTAGGCGAATGTCTCCCAGACATCAAGGCCACCTTAAGCCAACAGACATTTGAACGAACTTACCCAAGAATACCAAATCATTTAAATGTGAACATGAATTTGCTTCACATATATTTCCACCGGCAAATGATTCCCTTTTTTTCACCATCTAGCCTCTTTATCTGTGTTTCTAGAAGGAATACAAATGTTGTGTGAAACTGTGGATACTGGAGTGACTAAAGCTTATTTGCCTTCCCATCCAATGAGTTTTCTAACAAGTAGATCCAGAAAGACTTTAGTAAAGTTCTTTCTAAGCAGCATTGCAAATTGGATATGAGAACGTCTGACTTTCCAGTTAGATGGTTATTTCTTCAGCTAATCTTAATGCTGAATAATTGCAATCCATGAATGTTTATTGCAACATGGTTGCTAACTTAAGCTCATCCGCTCTTTACAATGAATCCCTTTTTCTCTCAGTCCTAATAAATAAATCTTAAAAAGGTAAATTTGCTATGTAACTTCGTATATTAATAGCACTGGAAACTATGACAGTAAAAGAACTTCTTGACTGAATTCTGATTGACGTCATCCAAGCAACAACCAGCTGAATGAACATGCGAAGTATTCTTACGAGAACAATATTCATCACTGATCATTTTATTCTCTGAGAATATATCCATTAGTTCCATTTTGAACAAATTAATGTACAAATGCTCATGAAACCTTCTGCTCTTCACATATACAACTGAATATTTCATTGTAGCCTTGATAATGATGATGCTGAGTATCAACTAGGAAGTGTTGACCAACTAGAAAATGTATATCATCTTATACAGTTTCCTTTAGACTTTCACTTGTAACTCAAAAACAGTGACATATGACTTACAGAAAGACACTGTTTGACATGGAAGCAACCAAAAGGAAATTGTAAACACGGGAGCGAACTGATTATACCACGACTAATTATTATTCAAGATATTCTGAATAATATATGCCTGGAGTAAAATTATGCACTGTTGCAATGACTAAAATGTCTACTGTCAAGAAGATGTAGGTATAATATGGCTAAAATTTCCGGTTTAGAATGGTTGTACGTTGAAAAAATCCAGGATAGCTTCTATGAATGCCAAAAGTAGTCATCATAACTCAATGGAGAGGTTTTTCATGGTTAAGTCAGAAGTATTGTTTATCTTGATATAGAATTATTTATGAAAATGATTTGAAAATGTAGCCGGATGTCTACAGCTTTATGTAAACTAGGTGGTGCTGTTTAGCATTTCATGGCGATTTATATTTGAGAATAAGATTTAAAAAGATGAAATTTGAATTAAAAGTGGCAAAGCTGTTTGTTGGTTTGAGAAATTTTTTTAGGTAACTTGCTTACGAGGATAGAAGAATCAGGACTAGTTTCTATAACAGTAGTAGCAATATAAGACAGAACTCAGTGGATGTTAGTCAGTTTTAACTCTACTTATCAGAATGTTGATTTCAAAAATTAAAATGTGAATGGATAAAAAAATATCTGGCTTCAATGTTGTCTGTTTCCAGACTAAGTGCTTTTCTTACAACAGCTTTCAAGCAGATAAATCAGACCACTTTCACCGACGATTCAGAAACCATAAGCTGTATGTCTGATAAGTGAAGTTTACTTTTTGTGTTACATACATCAGTCAGCAATCTCTGCACTTGAATCCTTCTTCATATTCCTGATTGCATGTAGTATATTTATCATGGTCGCTAGAGAGTACCGTTTAAGGTAACTTTAGGCGCTGCCCCCTGATAAGTAGCATTCAGATAAAAGAAATGAAGCGAACCCAAACATACTTGATACCACTGCAAAAGAATAGTGTCACCAGTCTATAAATATTCTGTGTTTTGATAATAATTCTCACTTGGAACTACCAACACTTTATAACCCATCAGTATGCATTAAAGATTTCTAAACTATCTTCATGTTCATATTTAGTGTCATCCTGAGGAGTTAGTTAGCTAAGTGCGATGTTAATATTAGCAAGCTGTGAAATTGAGGGAAAATTACTTTGCTGTGATAAATAAGGGCTAAGATTTTACGCTTCCTACATAATTTTTGGAACATTCCTACACTTTATAGAGTAGTAATTGTTCCTAATCAAGTGCTTTTTGAATTAATTATACTAGGTTAATAGTTTAGTCCACCTGAGCCACTTTTGAATTGCTGACACTACGTGTGCATTTAATACCACTAGTTTTCATCTCTTCATAGTTTCAACAGCATCACTCACTGGAGTGAAATTACATCCCTTTGATGAGTCCCAAATAGGAGTAGACGTGAGTCCTGAATTCAGGTGCCTTAAGACCTTTTCCACTATGATGTGTGCTTAAGGTTGCAGATATGCTGAGAACACTTAAAGACTCCGACTACATTACATACTTATATTTAAACCTAAAATCCATGCTTTAAATATAAGTACCTCTAGAATAATGATTCAATCGAATTTTACCTGGAAAACGTGACTGTTAAATTCGGTATGACTTACATATTATAAAATACGGATTTGAAGAAATCCATCACAAAAGTGGAGTATTACTAAGCATACTTTTGACCCTTTTATCCTGTTTTTTGTAAGTTTTACTAAACACACCATTTACTTCCCTATGATTTATTTTAAGAGTGACTGTGGTGAGACAATGAATTATATTCTGAAATTATACCAACCAGGAAGCAATATTGTAACATACCTGCAACAACTGTGTACAAACATTGCACTTGAAGCTCAAAGAATTGCCAACAGTAACTTCCCGAATGATTTTAGGGATCTGTTTATGGAGCAAGGTACGTTATACAAGTCATGTTTTACTGGCAACCTTACCATTTGTAATAAATCCACAAAAGGTCACGCATTATTCGTCAGAAACGCTCCGAGAGAATAAACGAACGAAACATTTTAGGAATAATTAAATCCACAAAAACCTCCAAACTGAACTGCTGTCCATTGTTCCATTGCCGCATGCTTCGAGATGAGATTTTCCCAAAGTTCGAGTGAGCAGTCTTGACATGTAGGGAAATTCAAGTCGGACGAGATTTCAAATACTGAACTATGGGAATGGATGAAGGTTACTCTATTTCACGAATTGACAGAAATGTAAAAATGTTGACCATTGTATTCCTACTCAAGAGCTCAACGGTAACAAGCTCGTCACGAAACCTTAAGATCCTGGGTTGGACCTCCGGAAGGCTGATAAGCGCATGATGCTGAAGAATCCTGCACTATGACGAAACAGCTCCACAGTACTCTCAGGTTTCCAACAGTTTTCTAACTGATGCCAATTCATTATAAATACCTACATGAAAATAATATACCTTAAGAACCCCCAAATTGCATCTAATAATTTGGCAAAAATTTGATATATAATGAGTGATTGAAATGTCAGTTTTGTGTCAGTTTTTTAGGGAATCTATGATATCAGATAACTACCTTCAAGTAATTTTATAACTCTATTACGACTAGAATGATGACCAAATAACTTGCAGCTAATGTGTTAAACTCCTATTAATTTTTCTGAGTACTTGAATTCCATGATCCAATTTATACTAGTCACTGGTAATGTTATGTCACGTCACGTCAATTCACCTTAAGGGCAGATTATTGGGAGTATAGGAGATTCTGGTCTCAGGTTTTTTCAAAAGTATCAAATATCTATGATAGTGAAACATAATTGTTTACTAAACGACGTTCTCAACATAACTGTCCCATTTAGCCTGACACGATGGTTGACAGTAAATTACGTTCACAATAGTATGTAGTCCTGTATGACTGTCATTTCTGAAACAAACTGTCAGAAAAGATTCCCTTGTGCTTTTTTACAAGACTCAGTAGTAGCAAGAATTATTTACAGTCCATTTTACTGGAAAGCATATAGAAAAGTTGAAATCTCACTCTATATTCGAGCACAAATTATGCGGAAAACGTCCTCAAGTAAATAATACTGTTTCATTGTATGTTGTAAGTCAAATCAATAAATCTAATATAGAATTAAATTCTACCACAGTGTCCAAGTTTTAAACCTATATTAAAGTGAAATCTCCTTCTAATCTCGTCTAATTCACACTAGTTTATAGATGCATATTACTACAATATAAGTTGTCACACCGACCTGTGTTAAATTCAGTTCTGACCTGATAATGTTACTTACAAAACACAATAACGTTAATGCTACTTTATGTTTTGAACAAGAGATTGGTATGTGCATAAAACATTTTATTAAATATACTCTAACTTGTATTACTAAGACTTATGGAGATAAACACTTTGTGATTTCGTTCTCCTTAGCCTGTTCTTTCTCCTTTACGTTTTACAGATTACCTTCAAACCTTTTAGATTTTTTCATATTGGTTTTACTTTCATCTACAAAATGAGACAAACTAAAGGAAGAACTCTGATGATATGATATTCTGTAAGCTTCTTCCTTTCACGTTATCTTCATCACCAAAGTTTTGGATAGATAAGGGAAAAAAACTATGAATCTGTTGTCTGATAAAATAAACGTGGAAATGGGGAATAACTGTGAAGAACTAGCTGAAAATTAGACGAAATTTGAGGTTGGAAGCTTTTTCTTAAACAGAAAACCAGTTGTGAAACTTTTACCTGTAACCAACTTCATGCACTATTTACTTTCCAAGGACATTTAACACAAATTTCAGTCAGTATACCAGCCAGATACGCCACTTTTAGGCGTTTTGACCATTACTAGACATGCATGACTAGTTACTATGTTTGACTAAACCAAAAATGCCAAAAAGTTTAAATGCAAACTTACATTTATAAATATGATGAAAAAGCGTCATGTTATATTTCTTCAATGCTTTATAAATCCTCTCTACAAAATGGAATTTTCTGTGAAGAACTTAATCTGACACTAAATGTCCATTTTGATTTTAAAAGGTAACCCTCAGAAAACATGAAAAATTTACAGGAGATTTGCAAATTAAAACTAATGTTAAATGTTACCATCAACTACTAGTTGTTCATAGAACTTACTACCATATAGTTACGGATGAAATTCAGTAATCTGATGCTCACCAATGAAGTGAGAACCACCTAAGTTTTATTAGACATTTATATCATAAATAGTGACTGAGAATAGGTATTATAGTTAACGCTTATAGAAACCTAGTAGAACTAAAAACAGATTACTAAATTTTACGAACAGGGTCTTCGGTAACCGTTTGTATTCCATTTATAATGTTAATCTGTTGTTATTATAAGCTATATCTGGCCATGTATAATCTCTTGTGTATGTTCCTAATATACACCATATGTAGGTTAGGTAACTAATTTCATGTTTTTCTCTTAATAGATGAGGCAATCTTATTTTTCTCTACAATGGAGACTATCAAGTTAAAGAGCTAATGTCTAGATCAGAAGTGTATAAAGTGTATAAGAAATTTAGAAACAATGTGTAACGAAACAAAATAGTGTGATAGGTATTTCCTCAAACTATAATTCAATTCTGATTTGTAAAAACAAGTCAAAAACAGCAAACAAATGCAAATTACGAAAGTTACATACAAAGGGTTAGATGCAATAAAAACGCTAACAGTAAAAGAACTAACATCTCTCAGTACATTGCGATGATAAGACTTTTAGCCTCGTGACCACATTACAAACTGATCTCTAGAGTTCGATCAGCACTCAGTAACAGACAGTCTTAAGTTGTCTGCCCTCCAGCGACAGATCAATGCAGGTTATAAAACTTATAATGGAAGAAAACATTTTGCATAAAAGTTCAATGAATACTCACGTGCACTTCATAGAAAGCAGAAATGTAACTTACAAAGTATCGTCGCAGAAGTTTAGTATCATGCTAGCCTAATACTAGAATAATAATCGCAAATACTTGAAAAAACACAGTCAGTAAGCTCTAATGATACAAGAGAATTCATTTATTTTCCTTCACTTGGAACTGTTTATATCTGCAATGACATGAAAGTAGAATAGAATGCCTTCTACGAGGATTTTCAAACAGGTACAAAATTCGATTTCTAATAGGATAAAAAAATCCCGAAATAAGGTTTCGAAATATGCAGTTTATCCTTCATACCATGTGTACGCTATTTGAGGAGTAGTCGTTTAGCTTTAACAAATAATGATCACTGAACTATATTTACTGAGATGTTTCTTTTTGGAAAATATCATGAGCTGAGTGAACTTATTTAAACCCAAGCGAATATTTCATTTACGATATGTCACAAGCACAAATTTAACTTTTAAATCTAAAGTATTGAAGAGAGAAACTAGTTAGTATTATTCTTGCCACTGACTCCATTTAGTTTTATCCTGTCAACCATAGGGGAAAATTAACCTGAAAGTTTTTCACTAGAAACAGGAATTTAAGTCAATGTAATGAATTCGAAGAAGAGCTAATATGCAGAATATAAGTCAGCTATTAAAAATTTCATTAAATGAGTTCAGTTTTCCACTAGAGTGACTGGAGTGAAGAAATCTGGTGATATGTGATGCATAATAGGCAATTCAGGTTATGAGTGCACTGAGTTTTCAAGAAATTAAACTTGTTGGTTAAAAATCCAACATTGCAATTCAGTAAGTCAGTCCAATTTTAGAGTGGTGTTTCTTTCCCTAAATAAATCAAGCGGGCATCATCATCCCAATTTATTTTATTCATACAGAAAGGTATGCGTAGCTAGATATGTGAAATTTATTTTGCTTGAGATATTCGCAATTCTTTTTTATTGTACGGGGTGTTTTAAAGCTATGACAGTTTCACATTTTTGGATTTTTAACGTTCTAAATGTTTGGAGAGCACTTCTTTGTAAAATCGCCTTCATTCTTTTGCTGAGATGTGATCTCATCAATATAAGGAATGGGATGATCTAAAGCAGAATGCTAAATGGATCTATATTACTCAAACCTGCAACGACCAGGGAGCTTAAATATAGGTTATATTCTTCATGACAATTCTTTCCAGCATGAAGCTGAAGTGTTCACTTACTAAAGTATCTGCTAGTTACGTCACAAATCACTGGCGTGTATCCTTAATTCAGTCGTCCAAATATGCTCACATTTTCATGATACCTATCTCGAAATGTTCGCCGTCCATCTTCCTTTCCCTCCTTTCCACGTTGTCTCCCAGACTTTTGTGAAGTGCAAAAATGGTGTCTTTTATTTCCTAAAATTAAATGTAGCAATTTAAAGTGAAACTCTATGATTACAGTTTTACGTTATTCAACTGTGTCTACCTGTGAACCTTTTACTTTCATTGTTCTCTGTTCATTTTAAGCATCACAATAGGGAATAAGAACAAGATGTGTATCAGCGAAGGAATATTTCTTTTCTATTCGTGAATAAACGCGTATATATAGTAACAACAGGGGATCATGAACAAGTCCAGTCACACACAACAGATATTAAATGACGTCAGTGAGGTAAACTGAACAAGAACCTAGATGCGTTAAGCAGCATATGCAGATTATAGGCTAATTGAGTAAAATAATGAAGGCAGCTAGCCTTATTGCCATATGATACTATGTAATTTACATACGAAACCAACCAGATCAATGCTATAAGTCATACAGGTGACATTTTCTGAATGCCAGGGTGTTTAGAAAAGTTTCATCCTGTCGTCAAAATGTGTGTGTCAGTACGAACGGATGCTTACAACATATAAAAATAAAGTCGTTGACCATTCATACACTGTCGAATGTTTTCAAGTATTCCATTTTTGTTTATTAGAAATATCAAACCTACAAACTCACTCAGAAACAGGCTTTGTAGGTTAAAAGATCCTATCGATGCAACTAAGCAAAATAATCTGGTTTACCAGATTCCTTGCAATGATTGTGAGACCAAGTACATAGGTCAAAGCAGTCGACCAAGGTCAATTAGAATAACAGAGCACAAAACTTAGCTAAATCAAGATCAGTAGATCCTAATAAGATAAGAAGTTTAGAGAAAAACTCGGCTATAGCTCTGCATGCGATGGCACACAATCACACAGTAGGGTGGGATAGGGTGACAGTGTTGAAAACTAATTTAGTTAAGTGGGGGGAGAGATTGACAACTGAATCTTTGTTTATCGAATCAACACCAAACACATGCAATCGAAATGATGCTGCAACTGTACCGGATCTGTGGAAAATTCTACTACCCTTGTCATCACAGAGAAGGAGAGAAAACTGGGAATATATAAAGACTATCTCGAAGTTGTGGAGTCACCTGATATGAATATGGACAACAAATTATGTCCGAAACGTTATCCAGTAAATGCTACTGTTTCACTGTGTGATATTTCTAATAAACAGACTAAAATGGAATTACACTCGACCACAGTGTCCAAGTTTTACACTTATGTTTTCAAGTATTCCCTTTTATCTAAAGTAGCCATACAAGTTTTAGGTACTATTTTGCCAGTCACGACCAGTTTATCTAATGTGCCATCCTACTTTTTTTCATATAGTCTCTGTATAGAAATATCTAGATTGTTTTTCCTTTCTTCTTTAGTTGGATTTTGTGGTTTAACTGGATTTTGGCAGATCTGTAATTCGATTGGTTGGACAAAATTATTAACTGGCAAAGCATCAGCGGTTGCTATCATAAGTTTTATACAGAAGAAATGAATCCGAAAAATTTGATCCTAATGAATATGGACATTACAAGCGGAGAAAGCGATCAGAAGGGCTTTTATCCAGCGGTCGTCTGGCATGCTTGTCACATCGAACAAGTGTAGCATTAATAGCATTAGGCAGCTACCTAAGATACCTAATCGAATTCCACTAGATGAACAGATAATTTTGTGACTTATTTTTGTTTTACTGTTCAGTTTTGTTTCAAATAACATGAATCTTTTCTGTAGAAAATAATGATTGTTGTATTAATTCACGTTTTCTTACATGTATTCGAACAATTTGTAACATGGAGGTATACCACAGACTATCAATAACAGCCAACTTTGGCATATCTTTCTTTCATCATATACCTATCGGAAAATTGAAAAATAAACTTTCTTCATGAGAAATTGTGATACAAACCATCGAATTCAAAATAAACAGACAGTGAATGCTGATAACCATGCTGATTACTTTTTAATTGATAAAGCTCAGGTGCATCTCTGTCAGGATGAATACTTTGGGGCTGCTTCTCTAAACGTTGATAAACAGGTGATCAGTGTCTTCAGCCATATTTATCTTTACTATAATACTCAGCACCCATACTGGTCAGCTGTATAGTGACAGTCTGTGTAGTTGCTCATTCAATCTCTACTGTCGTTTTAACTGAAAATAGCTCAGAACGCCAAATTTTGCTGAATTGTTACTGATTCATCAGTATGGTATAGTTCAAGGTCTTAGCTGAGTTAAGTATACTGTTTCAGTAGATGGTTTTGATCAGTAATAATGTGAGTGGTTTAGCCCAACAGTAGTTATTGAGTATTCCTGCTCAATTTATTCCATACAGATTAACCTCCATCAATTAGGTAGACTTAGAAGACTTGATTAGCTCTCTTCTCTCAACAATAACAAGACGTTCAAATGAAGGCGTTCATATAAAATACCTAGTACCTTTGCCTTCTCTGCATAGAATCCCAAAAGTTCTCAATATAAAGGAATTCGAAAATAGGAATCATTAGAACTAATGATGGAGAATGAACATGTTGCATATGTTAATGTTATTTGGTTTATGATATCCCTGTTACATCGCCTTGTCAATCTAGTTAGCAATAATGAAAAGAAAATAAATTGGTTAATTGAAATGTGATTGGCTTAATGAGTCTTCACAAGCAGCCCGTATGAATACCTGTCATTTAACAAAGCACTTTGTTTTTAGAAATACTTAAATAATAATATTTTTAGTGATCGTAGGTTCGTAAATTGAAAACCTGCAGATGACATTTTTAGAGTGCTTTTGTTTATTCACTTTATATTTTAATGGGAAATTTCAGGTGATTAAAATACTTTAAAATGATGGCAGTTATTGAAATAAAAATGTAAAAAGGCTGAAGAGATTTCATCAATTTTAAGTCCTCGCTTGCAGGTTGTTTCAATAACACTTCATTAAATGAAGCAAATGTTAAAACTGTTTTTTGCCCAACTAACTCCTACCCAATGATTATCTTGACGTCATTCTATGGTTTACTGATACTGGGCTTATGAATTCTTTCCACTTTCAAGTGTATAAAGTGTTAATATTTAACAAAATTATTTTTTATTGACTGATTAAAGGTGAGTTTTACTGTCAGAAACACAAATCATAAACACAACTATATATATATCTAATATGTTGATGTCTTCAAAGTTTAGATTGAGTAAGCCTAATCCAAACAACAAACTGATAACTCAATAACATTGTCGAGAGTCTCTTGTTAACTCACGCAATTAGTCACTTCTGAACATCGTATACTGGCAATTAGATATTTGATATTGCTGACAACAGTGTGAGGTGTTTTCTACTATTTTCACCTGAGGATTTCACAGTGCGAAAGAAATGACACTGAAATATAGCAGACGTATTTTAACTAGGTAAACAGTTTCCTTTTTAGAATATGATCCAAGCAAACATTTTGACCCAGTTATTAAAACTGATTGTCATGTTAGAACTTTTATGAAGGTGACGATTTAATGATGCAACTTTTTTCACTGACATTTTTAGTCCGACAAACATAGGTTTAATATGTGGACTCGTTATTTTCTTATTGTTGAGTAGTTTGTTGCTTTTGTACTGAAACGATCGGCCTTTGTTGGCAAATGGGCTTCAATGCAAATGCCTTGATATCACCTGAAGATTCACTATGACATAAATTCCTTCCTGGTGGCTGGTAGAGCAATCCATAACGTGTTCTGTTCTACCTCAGATTCATGAGTTGTACAAAATGTATTTCTCGTGACTCAGTATACTTGTGGCACTTTCAGAGATGCGATTCAGATTTTAGCCCCCAAAAGAATACTATCACTAAGTGGGATCCAGTTGTATTCAGCTTGTTAGCACGAAATATGATGAATCACACACCTTGCACTCCTCTGGTAGTCACTACCAAGTAAATTAAAAGTTTTTGCCACGTGTATTGACTTTAATGGTTGATTACTGAACAGTTATGAGAAATTCAGCTCTGAAACACTGAAATATTACTTCTCTGAACGAAGCATAGAAAATTCCTAATAAACATGACGTTTTGCACAAATAATGGAAGTAAATTTAGGTTTCATGGATAAGATTTGGCTTTCACTATTTTGAGCACCTGGTGTTACTAAATGCGCCTTTAAGCTTTTGTTTTTTCATCCAAATCTTCGTGACTGGAAAACTATGCAGACTGAACAATTACTCTGTAGCCGAAGTAACCGAATGCTGAGACCTCAGCCACGGTCTCAAGTCAGGTTCAGAAACTATCTTGGTTAGCTGAATACTATCGCGAACCTGAAATGAGTGGGATTTTATCATTGCTAAGTATGTTACTGAGTTGCATCATAAAAATTAGTTGTAAAATGGTTTTCTAGTTCTTCAATTCTTCAAGCATTGCTTCATCAAAATTACATTCCTTTTGCTCAGACTCATAAAATATTCGCATTTTTCGCCAAAAGTGACATTTAAAATCATATTTATGCAACAGATTAGTAATAATCTTTCATACTTCGCCTAGTTATATTCATCACATGTGAGATATGAGCTATACGACTAAGATTTTGCGTTATTACAGAACTGGTTGTTTATGTCACGATCAATGGCATGAATTCTAACAGAATTCGTATCCCAATTTAAACTTCAGACATCTAAGCTCCAATTAATTATCTAAACTGACTGGATTAACTGCGTTGTCATAGTTCTGAATCTCACGTGAATACCCACAATTTGTTTTTTCTTTGATGAAACCATGTATACTGGTTGTGATGAAAATGTAATGTGAATACATATTAATACTTTTATTCCCAAACTGCACATTGATTTCAAAGCTTTAAAACTGAATAAATATTAAGAACTCTGAATATGAAAAGTGAGGGACTGATATAAACACCAATAAACCCACTGATCCTTGAAAGTGAAATGTAGCTTACTTGTGTGTACGTGAGCATCTTTTTGTAACTAAGGTGGCTTCAAAGTAACTAACCATGTTCTACAGTAAAGAAATGATTTAGAGTACAGTCAGACTTGTTATGAAATAGAAGGTGAATTCTCTGTAATCATCATCATATGTACACATTTAAGTTAAATGTAAAATATCAGCGAATTTGTCTGTCAAAAAGCAGAAATTAAATACAGATTCAATGAGAAAAAAGATTCACGAAATTTGGAAAAACTGAAATTTCTCATACTTTTCCCTGTAAGAAGTACAACTGAAATTATTACACAGCGTATATGAGTGGTCACATTACAAGGTGAAATAAATTGCATGAGATCAAATGAAAACAACAAAATTTACTTAAATAAGCTAATAAGTGTCAATGAGAATTATGTCTCTAAGGTGGGAAATTATTCAGTTACAATAACTCTATATCAGTTTTTCTCCACAGCTAAAAGAATTAATATTACTCCGTAGACTGTACAACACAGCTATATATCACCACTGCCGATTGCATTTTGGTGGACAGATACATTGAATAAACATTTTTCAATTTCATTCGGTTATTCTACGTGGTACTGGAGTTAATTTTTGAAATAATTTTTTACGATCAGTCAGTATTCATTGCCTTGTTGTACAGTATTTTTGCAAACAGCCTAAGTAATAAATGTTTAACAGCAATACTTTGTCCATGATAAATTTATTCATTACATACTTGATGCCAGAACTGGGATGAGCACGAATGTCTACTTTCAAATTTCGTTTAAAAATATAAATAAATTTGATTCCAGAGAAACATTTTTGCAGTGAAGGTTGATAAGATTCATTGCATAGTCGTTAGCATTCGCTCCTGGAACACCAGATTTTGTTTTGAACTTTCAGATCGAATCCAGTTTTCATTTTACTCAAAACAGTGATTGTGATTTTGTAAGAGTTTAAAATAATCTAGAAGTCCATGTTTATTACCAAACCACGAAAATGCATCTAAAACCATGTATAGAATGTGAATTGCTGAAGGCGAACTGTTTCTTACTTTTACATAAAAAGTTTTAACAGACGTATAGGCAATTACGATCAGATTTGGCACCATCTATCTGAAGTCAAAATTTACTAGAAAAGAAAGTGGATGATCAATACCAATCTTAGGAATAATTTTCGGAAACAAAGCTTCAGAAATATATTGCTTATTCTATTCTAGTAGATGGATTCATATATGAAGTAGACAGTTCTAAGTAGCTGAATGTTCATCAATAATGAATTAGCCTCAGATAGGGACATGATATTCCTGAAAACACTTAAATTATTCATTGCATCAACAATCCTAATAGTGTCAGTCTCGCATATCAAGTGGATTCCTACATAACAGCTTTATCAACTGAAAGAAAGACTGTAAATTGACAGGAATAACTCAAACCAGTTGAGGATGAAATGAAATGATAACCAAATTAGCGAGTTTCAGGCACTTAATACAGGGAAGTAATGATCGATTCGATAGACTATTTCCAAATATCTTGAAGTTGAATATCATTTCGGTTTCTTGCAGAACTCCAGTTTATTTGCATTCCATTATACTTATTATTTTTGTTTTATTTCGGTGTTTTTATTTGTCTGCATTTAAGGGTATCTCCAACGTTTTTTTCAATTTAGTCTTTTCTGTTTCTTAAGAATGTATCGGTAACTTAATTAAGATGAATTGTTAAGATCTTATTTCTGCATTAGTTAGACAACATGATCTGTAAATTAACTTCAGATATAACTGCACATCTCAGTGATAAGGTATGCATTTGAATATTGCTAATTTGGATTTGCTCTGCTTTTTTACAGGTGAATCAGTTAGACGTATTCCTTATTTGGGAGGCTTCTTAGATTACAATCGAGAAAAGAGTTTACTTACGTTAAATTCAAATAAAAATATGGTATCAAGTGGTAAACATGAATTGAAAACTATGGCAATATAACAGAATATTAGGAGTATTTTTTGATGGATATTATGAAAG